CTCGAAAAGAAAACTCTAGGCACAAATAGTTTCCCCAGTGTATTCTACCAAACATTCAAGGAAGAAATAATACCAATTCTGCACAGGCTGTTCTACAAAATAGAAATGAAGGGAGCACTTCCCAATTTGTTGCATGAGGTCAGAGTTAATCTGATCTTAAAATCAAATAAAGACTTTACAAGGTACAGAAAACGACATAACAGTATCCCTCATGAAAATAGAGGTTGAATTTACAAACAAAAATTTATTAAATAAAATCCAACAATAAATAAGAACAGTATGTCGTGATTAAGTGGATTTTATCCCGGAAATACATAATCTGTTTAACATTTGAAAATCAGTCTATGTAATTCTCCATATTAATAAAGTACATATGAAAAACCATGTGATTATCTCTACATATGCAGAAAAAGCATTTGGCAAATTCCAACATCTGTTTCTGATAAAACCACCTCGGAGAAGTGTATTTTGCTGGCTCTTTCTGAGATGTGCCTCTTTGGAGTCTCTCTGCTTTCTCCTACATGTGCCCTGCTTGATCTCCACTGCTTTTGGAAATTTCTTCATCTATTTTATAATTTTTTCACTGCAAATGGAGTTTTCATTTTACCTTTCTGACTTTAAATGCCATCTTGACACTGGAAAGGTCAAAGATTTGTGCAAAATATGAGACAGGGCCAAGGCCAAATAATTATCAGTAGTTAATGGATTTATTCTTTGTTAGACTCCATATGCACTAGGCGACCTAAGGCGCTACCCAGAGATTTCAATGTACCAGGACAGTATTGAAAGTCTATAATCACATCTGCAGAATACATATATTACCAATTTTGACAGCTAAACTAACATCTTCTCCTTCTAACAGGACATTTCTGTATATAGTTATGCATCCCCAGAAAGGGTCATGAAAATACACCACTACCACCAAATGATGCAGGAATAAAATAGGGTTTATTAGAGGAAAAATGCACAAGTAGAGTGTAGATGAGTGCAATTCCTCAAATCTAATTAGGCCTCAGCTTAGGCTAGGCACAGAGGGTCTACATGCACTGTGGCCAACATGCCAATTCAGTGCAGGCCCTGTGCCTTTACAGTGATGGTTGGGGTAGGTTAAAGTAGAGAACTGCTGTGACACTAAGGAAAGCTCCCTGGTCAGAAAGGGGGAGCCTCCAGAGGCCTATGCCTGCTATCTGCCTATCTGATTGAGCCAGTTGAGACCTGCTGAGCCAGTTCTCTGCCAAATGACTAAAATGGAGAAAATAAGCCTCCAAAACTGTCCAGATTCGTCTCTCTCTTTAGATTTTTTGGAAGTGGTTTGATAATTCAAATACCTGAATTTATATACATATTCACCAATCATGCTTTAATGAATTTACCATATTAATTTTAGTTGCTACTTAAATGAAGACAGTTGCCTTAGAGCTATAACCTCACTGGATATCCATTTCCTTATCTCTTGAAAAAAGAGGGGCAAGGAATTGAGGTTAATGTTATTTGATTTTTACTATCTTACCACAAGTGAATTTAATAGTTGAAAGATATTTCTAAACATATTCTGCTGATTTAATACCCTGAATTCTAGCTCTCTGCACCACATTTAATGGGACTGGCTGCCACTCAGTTCCTTTCAATCTTGACATTTGATTGTTTGACTGACACTACAATTTCCATTTTAGTAAAACCAGTTAACCACCAGAGGGCAGTCAGGTTACAGTAAGGCAGTGAGGAGTGATGCTAGCCACAAAATGACAGCAAGGTATACATTCAACATGAAGTGCACCTGTGACTTTTAAAATTCTTTCTTTCAATTAAATTCCATGAAAAATTTATTGCCTGCTAAGATTAATCACCCAATTCTGATGTGTGAATGCGTGTGTGGCAGGGGGTTCCCCACACGACCAAGAAATGCTTAAACACCAGTTGGATGCTTGATAATTTAACTCAATTCTGATACTATCTACTCATATTTCATAGATTAAGGGCTCTGTTCTACAAGACTGGTCTCTTTACCCTCACTTCAGATTCGAATTGCAAGTCCAGGTTGTCACCTGGGCTTTTGACTGACCTGCTATAGCTGACAGGTTCTAAAGACCTTCTCCTTGGGTTTAATTTGCTAGAGTAGGTCCCAGAACTCAGAGAAACATTTTATTTACAAGATTACCGGTTTATTATAAAAGGATATAACTCAAGAACAGCCAGATGGAAGAGATGCATAAGGCAAGGCATGGGAAAAGGGCATGGAGCTTCAGCGCTCTCTGAGCTTGCCACTCTCTCCGTATCTCCACGTTTTCACCAACCCAGAAGCTCTCGAACCCCACCCTTTTGGGGTTTTTATGGACTCTTCATTACATAGGCATGACTAATTAAATCACTGGCTATTGATTCAACCTCCAGCTCTTCTCCTCTCCAACCCTCTGATCCTATGGTTGGCTCTCCAGGCAACCATCCCCATCTCTAGGTAGGGAACAAAAGAAACCTTTATCCTTCCCATGACTTATGAAATTCAACGGTTTTAGGAGCTCTGAGAACAGGGAAGAAGACCAAATATAAGTTATTATTATAAATCACTATAGCACACCTGTATGCTTCACTTTACGCTCTGTGTTGTGCTCTAACAGTCCGCAGACCAAGTATATCACGTTAAGGAGGAAAGAATGGCCGCCCATTCACAGTGTGTGGGGTTTCTTTTCATTCATTCAGAAAGTCTGAATTAGGCAGTTACTATGTGCCAGCCGCCGTCCCATAAACTCAGGTGCATCAGTTAACAAAGCAAAAATTCCTGACCTTGTGGAACTGACATTCTGATGGGATGACAGACCAAATAAAACTAAAATAAATAAGTAAACTCTGTAGTGTGGTAGGTGCTGTGGAAGAGAGGAACAGCAGAGTTGAATAGGGAAGTGGGGAAATTGGTATTCAGGCAATGGGTTTGCAATTCTAGGTAGGTGGTTAGGATAGGCCTTTAGAGGGGATATTGATAAAAATTGAGGTGGGGCAATAGGTGATGTGGCTCTCTGGGGAAACGACATTTCGGGCAGAGAGAACAAACATGAGAAAGTACTAAGGCAGGAGCATCCCCAGTAGTAGATGAGGTTGAGGTAAGAAGAGGCAAAAAATGAAAAGACTTTGATTTTTACTTTGAATGAAATGGGGAGCCATCACAGGATTTTCAGCAAAGGAGGGACATTTTTAAAGACATACTTTGCTTCAGTTTTAATAGTCTCTAGGAGACTTATCTTCTATAGAAGCTTCCAAATATTGTTTATCAGTTCATCAAAAAACAGAGAATGGCTGTTAACAGCAACCATATTTCGTTATCGTTTAACTATTCTCAGCTGATTCAGATATATCCTCATTGTGCCACATGCCAAGTACTGTGCCAAGCACTTTACATACCTTCCCTCTCATTTAATCTTTCCAAAACCTCTATGATATCATCACTACTATTAGCTCTATTTTAAAGATAAGAAAAAGGAGATTGTAAAAGTTAGTGACTGGCCCAAGGTTTAGATTAAGCAAATGAAATTCTTGAAAACTGTAACTTGAAGAACTTTACTTTCAAATGTGAAGAAACACAACCTAAACAAGGCTTAGTACCTAGTATTGAGAAATTAAAGATGGTGATGGTAGGAGAGTTGGGAGGAACACAATGTTTGATTCCAACCACCACCTGTTTCTTTAAAATTCTGTTTAGCTGTTACACCACAAACTTACTGACATGGTAACTGGACTGACTTCTGTACCATTAATTTCTAAGTGTCTGTCTAGAGCTTGGCTCCTGTGTGGTCTGTTTTGTATAGATTTGGGCTTTTAAGGAGGCAGCAAACATCACTGAACTTTTTTTTTTAGGAGGTTCTTCTTAAACCTCAGTGGTTTAAGAACCCACTCAGGCAGAGCTGCTCAGAGGGATGTTTCAGGACTGGTGCTGGTCTGTGACAGGGTAAGAGCACAGAAATTGAAAGTGTTTATAAACTTTAATAGGCATTTTAAAGAGTGATTTTAGTCTGCTGAAGCTAACGAATTTGGGCTTGTATTTAGTATATCTTGTTTTTAAACTTCATTTTTCATATAACTATTTTCATAGTGTTTCACTTGAGAGGCTGAACATACAAACAGACACAGATGGGGCCATGTATGAAAATAGAACTCTGACTTACAACCTGCAGCACCAACCTGCCTGGAAAAACAACCCCTTATCTACAATAATCAGCCTAGGAAGTAAGCCTGCTATTCAGTCAGACCGTAGGAAGCCAGATGGACAGCTTTAGTAATAACTCAAGAAGCTAAACAGTAACGTCTGTAACAGTTGGCCCCGAATGGCCAGGATTTGATTAATAACTGACGACTTCCCTAATTTTTGTCTCTGCTTCCAACTTAGAACTAACCAAAGAAAGCCAAACATGGCTAATCTATCACACAGGATGCCCTGCTTCTAACCAGTCTACCTACAGCTTCCCCATATGAACAGCCTCCACTGAGGGCACACTTGAAGGCCTTCCCTTCTTTCCACTACCAACCTTTCCCACCTCTCCGCCTGCCCTCCAGGCTACCAAAATGCAAGTGATCCTGGCTGACTCCCCTTTATAGAAAGCTCTGACTACTTTGCCTTTGCATTTCTCATGGTCTTCACTTATTTCTATATACCGAAAAACATAAAAATAAAAACACAAATCAACCCAAAACAGGGGTCCTCCACCGCAGACAGCTGGAGAAGCACCGTCCAGGCGCTGAGGTGGCCTCCAAGGGAGGGACCTTGAGGGCGGGGGAGGGGGACAGCATCCCAGGCACGCATCGCTGGGACAGCGAGAGTAACGCGGTCGCGAGGTTCTTTGGCTATTAGTGGGTAAGAGGAACGAGGGAGTTTTGGGGGCGGGGAACAACGGCCACCTACCAAAGATGCCTATAGCCCTTTCACGCACCGGGGCCACAGCCCCTAAGGCCCGTCTGGGTGGAGCTTCTGCGCATGCTCTCCACGCACGCGCACTCTCGGCACCGCCTCTCGGGCTGAGCTGACGTCACGTCCGCCCGCGGTCCTGGTGGCGGCGGCTTCTGTTTTCTGTGCGGGCCGCGCCGGGCGCTGGCGTCCCGCCGCCTCCCTCTGCCTCGCGGGCCCACCCCTGGCGCGCTCTCTCGCTGCGCCTGGGCGGTCCCCCAGGTCGCCCACTTGCCCCGCGGCGGGTCAGCGCTCCTGGCCTGGTTTCAGCGGCCTTTCCCGGACCTCTTAGTCTCAACACGGGTTTCCACTACTAGAGGTGAAGAGATAGTAGGGAGATGGGACCTGGGGTCTTGGACCAGGGTGTTTTTATTTACTTTTCCTCCAGGAATGCAATTTACAGTGTTTCCTCCAAGAGGACGCATTTATCGTTGTGCAATCTGAGAATGGTGTCCTTACACAACAGACACCAGGTCACCATACAGCTGTTCGGATGCTGCTTTTAAATACCTCCCCCGCCCCAAACTCATTAAACGTTTTACTGCTTTGGAATTTTGTTCTTAAAAAACATTTGGTGCCCAAATTCAGTTTTTATTTTAAACGAATCCTAATCATTCCTGTGACTGAATTGGCTCAAAGCCTATCTTTTCAACAAGGAAGACCTTGTCTTTTGGAACTCTACCCACCCTGGATCGTTGAAATTGAAGACATCTCAATTTGTAAAACTTGAATATTATACTTTTTTTTTTTTTTTTGCACCGACATTTTAAGCATTTGGGTAGAGCAGTGCAGTACTTTTTGGAAAATGCATTACATCCATTATATTTTTAAAACACCAAATTTGACCTTTCCTGATCATTTGCCGTCAATAGTGTGAAGGTTATTGTGAAAGACCCTAAGACCGCTGAACTTTTAAGTTCTGATGCCAGATTTTAAGTCCTTATCCTGTCTCCAATTTTGTGGCATCACTTGTCAGTCAGCTACATTCCTGCACCTCTTCTGCTTTATAATTTAATGCTGTTAAGCTTCATGGGTTTTGAATTTTGATAATTAAATTTCGTACACTTGTGTTTAAAGGAAAGCTAAGTGAGGAACCTGTGGCTTTTTACTTTTTTATAACTTAGTTTTTCATTTTACAGTATGCCCACTTTAGAAAACACAGCTAAGCAAAAGAAAGAAAATCATTTAGAATCCTACTAACTAAAGCTAACTAACCATTTCTAACATTTCAGAACATAGTCTAACTTATTTTTAACGCATAATATTTATAAAACAATGACAGAATCATAGTGTATATGGTTTGGTAACCCCTTTTGCACGGCATCTTGTTTGTGTGCCTGTTTCACTCGTTTTTTTTTTTT